GTGGGACACTGATCTATACTCAGCTTGAATTGAGGGTTTGTCGGAGTCACAACAGGCTTTGAATTCAACATAACATACTTTTCGAGAATCTTTTGTAGGTATGCCTCTTGAGATAAGCATAATCTCGACTGCTTTCTATCTCTTCAGATGTCAATCCCAAAAATATTGAACGCAGCTCCAAGATCCTTCATGTCGAACTCCTTATTGAGTTCAACCTTCACCCTTATTACATCTTCAACATTGTTGCTTGCTATTATAATATCATCCACATAGAGCAACAAAATAACATTTGAATTACCCTGTCAAAATCTGAAGTAAACACAGTGGTCGAAGTGACTTCTGATAAAACTTATGCATGCCATGAACTTGAACTTGTCGAATCTCCTATTCCAATGTCGATGAGGTTGTTCCAGTCCATATAAAGATCTATTCAGTTCGCACACATAATCTTCCTTTCCTTTTTCGACATACCCTTCAGGTTGCCTCATCAGGATTGTTTCATCTAAATCACCATACAAGAATATAGTCTTCACATCCATTTGTTCCAGTTCAAGGTTGAACTGTGCCACTGTGGCAAGTAACATTAGAATGGATTTGTGCTTCACAATAGAAGAGGATACATAATTGAAGTCGACACCTTCTTTCTAGGTGAACCCCCTAGCAACCAATCTTGCCTTGTATCTCTTCGACACCACTCCTTTGATTCCTTCCTTAACTTTGAAAATCCATTTACAACTGACTAACCTGGTTCCAGCAGGTTTCTTGATCAGTTCTCAGGTATTGTTATCATGAAGAGATTTCATCTCATCATCCATGGCCTTCAGCCATTCAGTCTTCTTTCGACTCCTCATAACTTCCTTATAGTCTATAGGTTCTTCATCCAGAACCTCACTTGCAGAGATTAAGGCATAAGCTATAAGGTCTGCATACCCAAGTCTCTGAGGTGGCTTGATGACTCTCTTCGACCTGTCACTTGCTAGAAGGTAGTAATTATCAGTCTCCTCGTCTTCGACAACATCTTCTGCGTCTTCTTTAACTTCATCTGGGGTACGCAATTCAGCATCAACATGCTCCACCTCAACAGGAATCTCTCCCTGTTCCAGCTCTTCGTCAACATCATCATTTTTCTTGAAAGTCATCTCTGCTCCATTAAAAACTACATCTCGACTAGTGACACACCTCCTGTGACCTGGCTCTAGGCACCATAGCCTATAAGCTTTGACTCCTTCAAGGTATCCCATGAACATGCATTTCAGAGCTCTAGGTTTGACCTTGTCTTGCCTAATATGAGCATAGGCCACACAGCCAAATACTTTCAGTCTGTCGAGACTAGGTGGATGTCTCGACCAAACTTCTTCAGGTTTCTTCATTCCCAAGGCAGTCGAGGGACATTTATTTATCAGATAAGCTATTGTCGAAATATCCTCTGCCCAAAACACCTTCTTCAATCCAGCACTAACCAACATGCATCTAACCCTTTCAATGATTGTTCGATTAAATCTCTAAGCTAAGCCATTTTGTTAAGGATTACATGCTACAATCTTATGCCTTACAATCCCAGACTCAACACAGTAACTGTCGAACGCTTTGTTGCAGAATTCAAGGACATTTTCGGTTTTCAACCTCTTAACCTTTCTGCCAGTTTGAGTTTCAACTAGAATCTTCCAACTTTTGAAATTTTCAAAAGTTTCATCCTTTGTCTTCTGAATGAATACCCATAACTTTCTAGAATAGTCATCAACGATGGATAGAAAATACCTTACACCTGAGTGTGAAGGATTCCTTGCAGGCCCCCAAAGATCAGCATGAATGTAATCCAAGGATCCATGTGTTCTTTGCTTTCCTTTGTTAAAATTCACTCTACATGATTTACCAAATACACAAAATTCAAAAAACTACAACTTTTCGAATTTGTCACCTCCTAGCAGGTTCTGCTTCCCCAATTCGACCAGACCTCTTTCGCTGACATGGTCCAATCTCATGCGCCATAATTATGTCTTCGACACAGTTTTCATGAATGCAAAATTTGTCAAATCACTTACAACCTCAGCCTCAAGGGTATACAATCCTTGTTTCTTCATGTCTCTCAAGACTTTCTTTGACCCCTTCATGACTCTTAGGATACTTTTCTCTTCTTGAAAAGCATATCCTTTTTTGTCGAATTCACCAAGAGAAATCAAATTTCTCTTCAAGTCAGGTACATATCCCCCTTGCTATTACCCAACCAATTTTTTAAACTAGCATGGATCGACTCAACTCTGTTGGTGGTTGTATTTTCAAGGTGTTGGACATTATCAGTCTACACACAGACTATCTTCTCCTTCACCTGATCAAGAATGGTGCTTTCAATGTATTTCAATAAAGCATGATACTTTTCACACACTTTCCGGAGTTGAATGGTGGAATCGGCATATAATTATTTTATGGAAGAATTTAGTATACGATTCCATGCATCCATTATTTTTTCAACAATCACACCGGCCTTCACCAATTTTCCACCTTCGGACTCTACTTGTTTTGCCCCCACCGCGGGTTTAACCCGACTTCTCACATTATTTGTTATGTGATATCGATAAAGTAATGCATTAGAAGAAGGAAATACCTTTGTAACCGCATTCATCAATGTGGTATCACGGTCAGTAACAATCGCTTTAGGCATATCAACTTGGTCCTCCAAATGTAACCGACACACCTCTAATGCCCATGTAAAATTGTCCTCTTTTTCACTCTCCAGAAAAGCAAAACCAATAGCATATGTCTTCTCGGTAGACGTAACACCAACCATCTCAAATAAAGGAAGTCTATACTTGTTGGTCTTGTAGATAGAATCAAGAATGAGCACTGTTGAGAACGTGTTGAACAACTTTATCGAATCCGAATGAGTCCAAAAAATATCTCGGACCGTAACTCTATCGTCGCAAGTTCTGTACCAGGAAACGTAACTGTTATCATCCAACAATTTCAATAGTTGTTGCATCTCACTTCTATCTCCCTCAATCGCCTTGTTGGTGCGGTACCGAATGTTATACAATTGTCTTATATTTGATATATTGTCGGGTTTCTTCCGTTTCAATGTGGCAAGTATATTTTTCAGTTGGACAAGATTCAAGGTCATATCACTAATACATGTCTTCTCTTCCAGCTTGAGCCGACATACACTAGGATGACCTTGTAACTTTACGCACAATTCATGGTTATGAAAACCACAAATAACACTAAATTTCCATTTTTTTTTTGTACTCAACATGTAACCATGAATCTTAAAAGGACATTCACATTTTCTACTACCGGTGTCATCTCTTTTAAACTTTCGCAGAGGAGTCTGATATTTTCTGCTTATTTCGCACAACAAAGTTACATAAATGTTTCTCTTTCTAAACCATTATCTGATCTTCCTATAACCACACCAAAACCAAGTCTAGTTACAGTTCTACAAACCCATGCAAGCATGTTATCACAATCATCAAACTCTTGCTTGTTATTAAAGTCAACACCGACATCTACCGACTTTACGACAACCCCTTGAACATTCAGAGAAACATCGTTTGTAGAAACTAATTCTTTTGAGATATTATCAGAGTGAACCATATCTATTTGTAAACAATAAGAAAAATAAACAAAAATTATTAATCTGCTGTAAAAAAAAACAGGTCACAGACAGGTTCCAGAGATGTACACTCAGAATTGTTCATCTTCAACACGTTTCGGAGGTACAGCTCCGGAAGCAACATTACTTTATTTCCAAAAGTTTGATGATTAATATGAGCAATATAGTGGACAATGTGCAATCTTTAGTTGAAATTCGATCTTCTCGTGCTCCCTTTGATTTGTTGCACGAAAATGTTGGAGTTTTGGAGTGAAAAATGATATTGATAATGTAGGGTTTTTTGGGTTGGTGAAGGTGGGTGTGGAAGAAGAAAACACAACAATGGGAGGAGTGATCATGCAGGTTTAAAATATAGCAGAAACTTCTGGAGCGGTATCTACGGAACAATCTGGCGCTTAGACGTTCCGGAGGTGCATCTACGGTAGTTTTCTTAAACTGAATTAACTTCAAGTTTTTCCCCGCTATTCCTAACTTAAAATATTTCGGAGGTGCATCTAAGGAAGTTTCCCTAAACTGAATTATTTTGAAATTTTTTCAACTATTCCCAATTTAAAATATTTTCGTGGATGTAGTTTCGAAAAAAACCAAATTTTAGCACAAAAAAAAATGTGTATGGATATGTATCTCCAGAAACAGATGGCATAAAAGAAAATGCCCTAAAAATCATCTACATATTAGACACGATATTCGTACTCCTTCATTATTGTGACTCATATTAACCTAACATCAGTAGAGTAATCAAATTAGCATACTCCATGTATATAAACACTTTCACATGTATTAAAAATATTATAATTATTATATGAAATAAAAAAAAATCTGATTCTTTTTATAAGAAACAATTCACCTTTTTAGATTCATTAAATAATTAACGTACATAATATGCATTATAGAACAGATACATTAATTATTTCATAAATCTAGAAAAGTGAAATGTTTTTTATAAAAAAGACCGGAGAGAATATTTAAAAATTAAAAAATAAAAAATAAATAAATAAATTATTATTATTATTATTTAATATAATACAAAATTGTAAAACAACTTATAATTTATTTATTTTTTTCAAAATAGCTTATAATATAAATAAATAAAAAAGGAGTACTATATTTCTATTTTTATGTTTAAATTACTCAAAATAGAATAAATAAATAAATACATAAGAACAAAGAAAACACGTTTCATTGACTGTTTGGTGTTTCTCATCAATCATAAGATGGACGGCCAAAAGTATGTGCGCGTAGATACATGTAATGGATGAGAAGCAGTGAATCATTTCCTTATATACGCTTCAACTTCAGACATGTGGATGGATAGAACATGAAACAGGATTCCCTCCGATAAAACAACATAAATAAAACCGAAACAACTTTTGTTGTTGAACTCACCACAACAATGGCTTCAATCACATGCACCACTCACCAACCCATAATTTCAAATTCCATATCTCAAATCACTTCAAAAATCTCAGTTTCTTCTCGTTTTCTTGGTATCAGAGTTAAAAAACATGGATGGTCAAGCTCAAGCATCACCTCTAGAATTGGACCCTCCAATGGTTCAAGATACTCATGCTGGTTCAGGTTTGGTAAGAATGGCGTTGATGCTGAAGGGGCTGGGATTTATGGTAGCCAGTCTCGTGAGGATTTTGATAGAGATGATGTTGAACAGGTAATTGGTAACTAAAAATAAAAACTTTACTGTTTCGTAAGGTGGAAAATTTTTGCATGCATAGATAGTCATTCTTATTTGTTTTGTTCTTTCATTAGGTGTTTATAGCAACTAGTAAGGAATGAGAATGAATGATGCTAGTTGTTAGGAATTTGTTTTGACTTGTGTATCTATAAGTCCAGCACCTGCGGGCTGGGCTATGTCAGAGGTTCAAAATTTGTCACGGTTAAACTGTGACTAAATAGAACTTTAACTATATTTATATATGATATTATCTTGCAGTACTTCAACTATATGGGAATGCTTGCAGTTGAGGGAACATATGATAAAATGGAGGCTCTGCTAGGCCAGAACATTCACCCTGTTGACATCTTACTGTTGTTAGCTTCAACAGAAGGCGACCTGCCGAAAATTGAGGAACTCTTGAAAGCGGGGGCGAAATATGATGTGAAAGATGCAGATGGAAGAACGGCGTTGGATAGGGCTAATGCAGAAGTTAAAGATTTCATTCTTAATTTTTCAGTGCAGAGAGCATGATTAGTTTGAAGTTACAAGATTAAAGATTTGTTTCTTGATTTTTCAGTGCAGAGAGCATGATTAGTTTGTTCAACTATATGTCAATTGAGCTACATGGTTGTTTCGATTATGATAACTTTTGAACTGTTATTTTATATGATTTCATACTTTTGATTCATGCTAATATTTTACATGATTTCGTACTTTTGATTCATCATTAGCATAAAGTTTATGTCACTAATCAGTTTATATTCTGAGAACTATCATAGACATTCTAATTAAGAACAGATAACAAAGATAACAAAACTGGTATGAATTGAAGAATTAACTATTATCAACAATTATTACCGGCTTAGTTGTCAAGATCTCGATCTAGATCTTAAAATCCTACGGCTTTATGATCTCACTCACCCCACCAATCCCGATCTTAAGTAGAATCGCGCATTGTAGGTAAATTGTGAAGAAAAAAATTATAAAATCATTTATTTTGTGCGATCTTGGCCAGTTCTGACCACAATCAGTTGTTTTCCAGCTACTCCTACCATTTTCCGACCACCACCATTACAAGCTGAGAAGGTTGACAAGATACCGAGGCACAATATTTACCGGTGGAGGCTATTTTTCCACTAACACCCTTGCCTACCAAAATATCATAAAAAAAAAAAGGCTATTTTTCCACTAACACCCTTGCCTACCAAAATATCATAAAAAAACTTCAAATATATAATATAATTTTTCGTTTTAGTAATATCTTACCATTTTTGTTACTATCTTATGTTTTACTTATGTTTTACTTGTTACTATCTTATGTTTTACCTTATGTTTTACCTTATATTTTACGATCTTGCTACCCCCTTCTCGATTTTACTAAAATAATTGAGTAGAATCTTTCTATCTTAGTTACAATTTTATGTTTTACGATTCTACCGTCCCCTCCCGATCTTGACAACCTTAATTACATGAAAATATCAAAAGTCATGTCTTACGACACTAATACCAAACCACTGCAAAAATCAAAACTAATAACATTGTGACATAGGACCAAATTATAACGAAAAAAGCATGAAAAACGGTCTTGTTACTATAAAATAACTTAAACGAATCGGGGTATTTTTTTGCCAAAATTTTACTTTCAACAAACTTCTGAACATTGTAAATATGATATGAAAATCACATATTGGATATAATGCAACAATTGCCTTCAAAATTCAACCTTCTATGTAAAGGAAATAGAACAGAAACGTAAGCTAGAATGCTTGATCGTTTATTCAAAAGACTGCTACAGCTTTTATAAAGCCTTACAATTTAAGTGTAACTGAAATAGAGAAAAATAAGGAAAACAGAATATAACAAACTGGAATAAATCAACTCCTAAAAACTAGCTTATTAAGACCTATTCTCTAGCTTTAACGGTAAACCCAACAAATTCCTCCCCTTAAACTGACACATGCTTAACGAGCATCAGTTTACTCCTCAGGTCGTTGAACACCAAGCAAACCTCTAAGTTTCACAAACTGATCCAACTTAATAGGTTTAGTCATGATGTCTGCCACTTGATCATCAGTTCCACAAAATGCTAACTTCACAGCTCCTTCACTTGATAAATTGCGTAGATAATGATATCTAACATCAATGTGTTTTGTCCTTCGATGCATCACTGGATTCTTGGATAGTTTAATTGCCGAACTGTTATCACACATTATGTGAATGCAATTACAGTCTTTGAAGCTTAACTCTTTCAAAATTCCTTTCAGCCAGACGCAATGACATGCGCAGGCAGTGGCAGCTACATACTCAGCCTCTGTAGATGAGAGAGTCACTATCCCTTGTTTTCTTGAACTCCAACAGATTGCTGCTCCATTTAGTAGAAATACATAGCCCGAAGTACTTTTTCTATCGTCCACATCTCGTGCGTAGTCGCTGTCTGTGTATCCCAGCAGATTCGCATTTGTGCTTTTCTTGTAAAAAATTCCCAGTTCCAGTGTTCCTTTCAAGTACCTCAGTACCCGCTTTGCAATCGACATGTGTTCTTCTTTAGGTTCAGCCATATAACGAGAGATTAAGCATACCACAAACATTAAATCCGGACGCGTTACCGTTAGATACATTAAGCACCCTACTAGTTGTTTGTACAATATTGCATCAGCACCGTTGCTGCCTTCCTTTGACAGAACAGTACCAGGAACAATTGGATTCTTGACAGCATTACAACTCCACATATGGAACCTTTGCAAGACTTCCTTAGCATACTTCTTTTGGCACAAGTGAATTCCATCTTTACGCTGATAGATTTCAACTCCAAGAAAAAACTTCATTTTGCCCAAGTCTGTCATCTCGAACTCCTTCTGCATTGACAACTTGAACTCTATGCACATATGCTCACCATTTCCGGTATATATTAAATCGTCAACGTAAAGACTTACCGCCAATAGCTTGTTTCCATTTTTCTTCAAGAACAAGGTGTGATCATAGTTGCTTTTCTGAAACCCTTCCTTCTTAAAGTGACTATCGATTCTGCTGAACCAAGCTCTTGGGGCTTGCTTTAAGCCATAGAGCGCCTTCTTTAGCCGATACACCTTATCTTCCTCTCCCTTTTTGATAAACCCTTCCGGTTGATCGATGTATACCTCCTCCTTTAATTCTCCGTACAAAAAAGCACTTTTAACGTCAAGTTGGTAGACACACCAACCACGCTGAGCTGCTACTGCCAGGAGAATTCTGATGGTATCCCAACGAGCCACCGGTGCATACACTTCATTGTAGTCTACTCCTGCTGTTTGTGAATACCCTTTGGCAACTAGTCTAGCTTTGCATTTGTCCACCTTACCTTCTTCATTCAATTTTGTTTTGTATACCCATTTAACACCAATTTTTTTTGCTTGATGTGGCAGTGACACAAGCTCCCAAGTCTGGTTTCTCTCTATAGCTTGAATTTCAAGCTTCATGGCCTCCTGCCATTTTTCTTCCTTCGCAGCTTCATCAAAACTTACTGGATCATCATGAGAGATATACAAGGCTAAGTTTTGTTCTGGTACCTCTTCTTCAGATAAGCCTTCACCGCTTTCATAATTACTCATCCAACTAGGCTTCCTTCTCTCTCTTCTTGTTCGTTCTTCAGGTGTTGACTCTTCAGTTTCTGGAAACTCCGTTGCACTGTCGTATTCAATTTCTTCAACATCCTCATCAGTATCTTCTGCTTCAGGTTCTTCTGTCACAACTTCATCTTCTCCCCATGCAAGAACATTCTGCTTTACGTCTGTTGCGTTCAAGTTCCAATCCCATTTACCGCCTTCTTCGAATATGACATCCCTACTTATAATTATCCTTTTTGTTACCGGATCATACAGCCGGTAAGCTTTAGATTCCTCACTGACCCCAAGCAAGATGCATTTGTGACTTCGATCGTCAAGTTTGACTCTTTTCTGTTCAGGGACATGTACATGTGCAATGGAGCCAAATACTCTGAAGTAGTCCACCTTTGGTTTTATTCCTGTCCACCTTTCTTCAGGTACCATATCTTTTACCGCCTTTGTAAAACTTCGATTCAAGACGTGAGCCGTCCATCTCGCTGCATCTGGCCATAGGGATCTCGGCATCTCCTTCTCAGATAACAAACAGCGCACCATGTTCATGATGGTTCGATTCCTTCTTTCTGCCACTCCGTTTTGCTGTGGAGTGTATGCCACTGTCAATTGTCGCCTTATGCCATGATCCTTGCAGAACTGGTTGAATTTATTTGACGTAAATTCTCCTCCCCTGTCAGTTCTTAGTCCGCATATGGAAGTCCTTGCTTCCTTTTCAACAAAACTTTTGAAGGTTTTAAATGCCTCAAAGGATTCTGCTTTCTCTGCAAGAAAATAGATCCAAGTTTTCCGAGAGAAATCGTCTACAAACACTAACAAATACCTCTTACCACTGTGAGAGATTGGAGTGATTGGTCCACACAGATCTCCATGAATTAACTCCAATTTTTCTGATGCCCTCCAGCCACTTTTCTTCGGAAATTTCCCCCGCTGCTGCTTTCCCACATTGCATACCTTGCAAATCTTGGCTGCTTCTTTCAACTTTGGTAACCCTTTTACCATTTGTTTTTGCTGCATTATTTGGATGGACTTGTTATTTAAATGCCCATATCTCTTGTGCCAAAGATTCTCCAAGTCTTCTTCCTCCATCTTCAAACAACTGCCGGGCAGTGGTTTCATCTTTGCATAGACCACGAACATACGATTCATAGTCATTGGAGTGTCTACTATCAAACCTCTTTGATGATGATAGATTCTGCAAGTACCCTCTTTAATTATGATCACTAAGCGTTTCTCCTGTAGCTGTCCTATGCTTAATAGGTTGTTGCTGAGATTTGGAACATAATAGACGTCAGACACGGTTTGTGTGATTCCTTGTACTTCAAACCTGACGCTGCCTTTTCCTTGAACCGCCATCCTTGAGCTGTTACCCAATCTGACAGAATGCTTGAAGCTTTCGTCGAACTCAACAAACCAAGTTTTGTCTCCTGTCATATGGTTTGAACACCCAGAGTCGAGAAACCAAATACCTTTTCCTTCAGATTTACTGACTTCTGTGTGTGCCATTAAGAGGAGTTCTTCTTCCTCGTCGAACTCGGTATAATTGACTCCTTTTTCCAGACTTGAGCATTCAAATTGATAATGTCCTTGCTTTCCACATCGAAAGCAATTAATGGCTGACCTGTTAACGAAAGATCTACCTCTTCCTCGTCCTCTAAAGTTGCCGCCTCTGAAGTTACCGCTTCTAGAGTTGCCATTTCCTCTCTGATATATGCCTCTGCCTCTTCCTTGTACATTCCTTTGCTCGTTCTCCACCTGTAGAACTTGTTCTTCACTTCTTTTCTCAATCACCTTTTGTTCATGTACAAGCAGAGATGCTTGCAATTCATCTACTGTCATATCATCAATGTCCTTGGACTCTTCGATGGAGCATACCACAAAGTTGAAGTTGTCCGTAAGACTTCGAAGTATTTTTTCAACAATTTTAACATCATTCATGTTTTCTCCACAGTTCCTCATTTCATTGGCAGTAGACATGACTCTTGCGAAGTACTCAGAAACACCTTCTCCCAATTTCATTTCTAGGGTTTCAAATGTTCTGCGAAGCCGTTGTAGCTGTGCACGCTTCACTCTAGCACCTCCCTGATACTTGACTTTCATTGAATCCCACAACTGTTTGGCTGTTTCCTTCTGGGTGATGGTTTTCAAGATGCTCTTGTCTATGGACTGAAAAAGATAGTTCTTTGCTTTGAGATCTTTGAGTTTTGCTTCGTCGAGTGCCTTCGCGCTTATGCCTTCGGTCCCCTTCAACTCTTCGAGCCCTGGTTCAATGACGCTCCAGTACTCCTTGGAGCGGAGGAGATTTTCCATAAGTAAGCTCCAGTGATCATAGTCACCATCGAACTTCGGAACGCATGGTGTTGAGAAACTTTCTGCTGCCATTTTTCCTTTCTTCTGTGTTTTTCCTCTCAAACACTATTGCAGACTTTCCCTACTTCCTCTCAGTGTTTTTCCTCTCAAACACTCAATTTGTATATTACTATTATCAGGCCCTTTCGAGCTCTGATGCCAGATAAAGGAAATAGAACAGAAACGTAAGCTAGAATGCTTGATCGTTTATTCAAAAGACTGCTACAGCTTTTATAAAGCCTTACAATTTAAGTGTAACTGAAATAGAGAAAAATAAGGAAAACAGAATATAACAAACTGGAATAAATCAACTCCTAAAAACTAGCTTATTAAGACCTATTCTCTAGCTTTAACGGTAAACCCAACACTATGCTAAATCGAGTTTTTCTATTGTAAAATTACAACCGATGAAAGATTAATTATCCAAAATCGAGACAATTTCAATGTTCTTGCATTTGAAAACATTGGCGCTTAAAAAAGACTATCCTTTGCATTTACATTAGTAAATATACTAGCAAGTGAATCCCCTTTGTCATCTTTTGTTTTATCACTTTCCTTTGTCATGAAATTGAATACATTAGCTTTAGCATTGCTAGTTAACACAGAAACACTACTTTGGACATTTTGAGGCACTAATGTTGGATTCTTTATAGACAAAAATGCTACCTTCTTCGAACCCGGATGAAGTTTGCCACTGTTTAAAGATTGTGAATGTGATAATGCATGCATGTTGCCCTCTGGTGAAGACTTGCAAAAAGGGGCTTCCTCTGGTGAAGACTTGCAAATAGGGGCTTTTGTGGTAGAACAATTCCCTCCTCCTTCCTCACTACTAATCACAGTCTCCGTAACTTCATCAATTTGGGGTGAGCCTGTCAATAAATCAGTATTCAGATCCTTAACATGAGTGCTAGTCGATAAATCAGTGTTCATATCCTTAACATGAGGGGGATCTCTTTCAGCTGCAGCAGCTGCTTCATCTTTCTCCGGATCAAGCTGGTCATCTGCACAAGACACAATTTACCATGTTAAATCACAACATAATATTACCATTTAACTTATAAAAATGAAGTTGATAAATGTATATGTAGCAAGCAAAGGAGAGCAAAAATGTTAGGATACTTGAATTATGACTTTTAATTGGGATAAAAGAATATCATTGGAGTAAACCCATTTTCCATCAAGCTAATGCTAAGGTTTTCTAATTTCGGAAAATACCGAAAGCTGCTCTGTAACTAACTCAGTAGTAAAAATTGAGATTTTGCATAAAATCGGGATGGGGAAGTAATATCATAAAATGTGGAATCGTAACATGAACCGTATGAATATATGCATTCGGTCTAAATTTCAGTTTGTTAATTTTGTACTGGATTATGTTAGGAATTGTTACTAGCACTCTGTATACCTACCTCGTACTGCATTCTATTGAATACAACCTGTTAACAAGACATTTATTATAAAACAATTAAAACTGACCAACCAAACAATGCACCAAATAATTAAATTAATTATACAAATAATAAACAGTATTAAATAATTACGGAATAGCATAATGAGCACATCTTGGTTCTTACCACCAAGAATAGATTCAATGGTGGTGTAGTTGACAGCTGATGCTTGAACTGGAAGATTTCCAACAGAATCCTCCTCACCTTGACTTTCATTCTCCATTTTATGCTTCCTCTCATGTAGTATATACTTATCTAATTTCCAAACACACTCTAATGTAACATAATCATCCTCATCACTAACAGGATAGAACTCTCTAAACACCTGATACGATAGTATACATCAGAACAGATGAAGAAAGAATAGATTAGCATGTAAATAATTATTTTTTATACATAAAACTGAAGAGAATTTAGTGGTACTACAATTTCAAACTAACCTCTACTCCGTTATGAGTTATTTTTACTGATTGCTTCTTTTTGGACATGGAAGAAACCATGTTGAACAAATAAACAACATCAAGTAATATCTGCACAAGGAGAGAAAAAAGCTCACTCAAGATAAATGCACAATCACGGAGAAATATAACATAACGTCTTTAATAGCACAAATTCTTCAATTTTACAGTATCAAATGATATCACTTGCACTTTATAGTTAATGTACAAATAACCTCTCAAGATAAATGCAGTCACAGAGGTATAACATAACTTCTTTAACAGCACAAATTCTTATGTTTTACAGTATCAAATCATATGAGTTGTACTTTATAGGTAAATTACCAATAACCTCGGCATCAGTGTTCCACATTAAACAACTTGCAATTCAATTCAACTATGATGGAATCTTGATTAAATTAAATTGTAATACATAAAACATGGAAGACTTACTTGTTGAACCAAAACACGTAGACGCGCTAGCAAAGCCATAATTGTCACAGAAAGTCCCATAAAAAAGGATCGGGCAAACAAAACAGATATCTCACTGTTAAATAGTCAAGGAAAGAAATTTTATATGGAAATCTTAACAGATTATTCAAAAAAGATTTTCAAGAAGCATGCACTAAATGATACGGGAGCTGACCATGGTAACAATTTCTAACCAAAATATACAGAAAAAATGTGACTCGATGACTAAATAATAGAATATCATAGTAGATAACTATAACCAACCAAATTTTGGAAAATGCTTCAGAAACTCAACTTTGGGACTTTTTCTACCATAAAACATCGAGGTTATTAAGTATGAAATAAGTTTCTGTTTCCTATTTCAACAAAGTTATCTAATGACTAACAGAGTTGCAGAGGGGAAAACATAAACAAAATGGGTAAAAGAATGACTAACAGAGATGCAGAGGAGAAAACATCAACAAAATGGGTAAAAGAATGACTGAGCACATACAAAATTTAGCATGGATAAAGAAATTATGTAACACCGCCTAAATGTAAGCATGTAAAATCCTTATGTTCAATATTGTAATTACTAGGAAAAAAAATATGAAAAACAAACAATAAACTCATAAATATGCGCTTTTTAAGATAAATTGGCACCTAATTACCTATATTGTGAAGTAAATGCGAAAGGTTTACATTCCTTATTATACCATGATCAAACTTTTGCCAATCAACTAAACCCTGAGCATATAATATAAATGAATATACCATTACAATAGAAACCACATGATACTGATAGATCACGTGAAGAAGGATACGTTGCAGCCTTCAGCATTGGTTCAACCATCTGCACAGGAAGAAAAAAAACATCTATTGACATAAGAGAAAGGAATCTGGAAGAAATAAGCAATCCAATGCTAAATCTATGGTTGCACAGACGAGGGGAAATCCCAATTAGCATCTGATAGGGACTTGGGTATTATGAGGTGTTCAAGTCCCGCATCAAGGGAGGGTTCGTCAAACACTTGAGAACCCTATTATACGCACGCCTCTATCAACATCAATAATGTGTTGAATACTCATAGCCATACTCTATGTATGGAAAAAGGAAGCACGTAATGAGCCAGTACAGAAGAAACGTGATGATTATAATAGATTATTATTAAGTATTGAAAACAGAAAGAGAATAACTTAATAATATTTAGCTGCAATTTCACCTCTTCTAGTAGTCGTGCAGATCCTAAAAGACGCTCCAAAAAATTCAGCTTCTCATCATTATATTTTCTCCTTTTCAAGCTGTCATGAAACAAAAATTATAACCAAACCAACAAGACCAGACCTATAATAACCTCACATATTGATAGAGAAAATTCAGCAGAAACAGATTTCAGAAGGAAAATAACGAAATGGAGGGAAAAGAAGAAGCAACATTGCAGTCTGTTTAATCGTGCAAGAGAATGAGCCATCTCTCATTAGACTATAATTTTGTTTGATAATATTGTTATATCCATATTCCATTACTTCGATCTTTAACCATAACATGCGAGTTTGAATAATGGTCTATGGTATGGGTTATTAGAGTAAATAGTAGCATAGTCTAGTAAAGTGTACTAAGCTTGTAACAGACTGTGCTGAGTCAGCACAGTCCTAACTGAAACTATATAAGTTCGGTTCAGTTCTCATTGTAACCAACTTTGAGATATCAAAACACTGTTAGAAATGAAAACCAACTCTCTATTCTTCCCTTTATCTTTTTCTATTACGGTATCATGAGCTTGAGTTCAATCAGCTTCCATGGCATCCGAAGAAGTTTCAGCAAACACAGCAAACATCGAACGCGTCTTTTCTCTCAAGTACGAAGAACATCTTCAAGACTTTCACTCAACATGTGACGTTGAAGCTTGATGAGAACAATTTTCATTCGTTGAAACAGAAAATTGAGGGCATAATTCGCACTCACAAACTCCATCAGTATCTTGTGAATCCTTTGATTCCTCCACGCTACCTCAATGAAGACGATCATACCAGTGATACAGAGAATCCAGAGTTTGTGACTTGGGAGCAGCAAGATTCGTTCCTGTTTACCTGGCTTCTCACGACTCTCTGATGCAGTTCTTCCTCGCGCCGTCAGATGCATTCATTCGCACCAGGTATGGGATGAAATTCATAAGTATATTTTTGCTCCAACAAATGCGAAATCGAGACAGTTGCGATCTGAATTGAAGTCTAACGCAAAAGGTGATCAATCCATCACTGAGTATCCTGCACGAATTCAGAGAATTGTTGACATCCCACTTTACTTCTAACAGAAATTGAGCCAATTTCTCACAAGTCTGCCTTGAAGGATCCTAAGTGGGCAGAAGGCTAGAAGCTATGAAGGCTGAATATCAGGCACTTCTTACCAATCAAACCTGGAGCCTAACTGAACTTCCATCCAATAGGCAGGCCATTGGATGCAAGTGGGTTTTTAAGATTAAACAAAATCCAGATGGGACCATTAATAAATATAAAGCCAGGTTAGTGGCCAAGGGCTTTCATCAGCAGCAAGGGTTGATTTCACTGAAACCTTTTCCCCAATAGTAAAGCCTGTTACAGTCAGAAGTATCCTCACTCTAGCTGTCTCTAAAGGGTGGCAATTCTCACAACTAGATGTGAACATGCTTTCTTAAATGGCATACTGCAGGAAGAGGTGTACAAGCAGCAGCCACCTGGCTTTGAAGTGTCTAATTCCCAGCTGGTTTGCAAACTTCAGAAAGCTATCTATGGTCTAAAACAGGCACCAAGGGCCTGGTTTGAAAGACTCAATTCTACACTCAAGACTCTTGGCTTTGTCTCAAACAAATGTGATCCCTCACTATTTTCTCTAGTCTAGGGATGTAAACGGATATCCATGAGGATGGATACTATGATATCCGTATCCGCCCCGTTAGATAAATATGATATCCATATCCACCCCATATCCATGCGGATATCCGTTAAGCAGGTAATCCACGGGTTTTACGCTATTCACGGATATTTACAGATATCCATGGATAATATTCACGGATATCCGCGGGTACGGATTTTTTGCCATCCCTACTATAGCCAACATATACTATATTCATGTTAGTATATGTTGATGACATCATGATTACAGGAAGTTCAGCAACTAAGATTCAAAGTCTCGTTACAAAACTCAACTCTGAGTTTGCTTTAAAACAACTGGGGAGCCTTGATTATTTTCTAGGCATAGAAGTCACTCATCATCCTTCTAGAGCTTTATTCTTGTCTCAAACCAAATACATTCGAGATCTTCTGTCCAAGTCCAATTTATCCGAAGCCAAGGGCCCTCCTACACCTATGGTGTCTAGCCTAAAACTTTCTAAGCATGGTGCTGATTACCTACAGGATGCCACATTCTACAGGTCAATTGTAGGTGTCCTTCAATATGCTAGAGTTACTAGGCCTGAGATTAGTTATGCTATCAACAAGGCCTGCCAGTTCTTATCTCAGCCCCTTGAAAGCCACTGGATAGCTGTGACACACATCCTTAGGTATCTCAAAGGGACTTTGTATCATGGTATTCTGTTGCGACCGGCTCCTTCTCATGTCCCTATCTCCATTAAAGCTTTTTCAGATGTTAATTGGGGTGCTGATCCTGATGACAGGAAATCCACCTCCGGATCATGCATCTATTAGGGCCTAACTTGGTCTCTTGGTGGTCAAAAAAGCAGACCTTAGTAGCCAGATCCAGCACTGAGGCTGAGTACAGGAGCTTGGCTAGTACTGCCTCTGAAGTCTTGTGGATTCAATCCCTTCTAACTGAGTTGAGAGTCCCCTTTTCTACTCCTATTCTTTTCTGTGATAATCTAAGCACAGTGGCTATATCTCACAATCCGGTTCTCCATGCCAAAACCAAACACATGGAACTTGATATCGTTTTTCTTAGAGAGCATGTCCTTAATCACAAGCTGATTGTTCAGCATATTACTGCAGTAGACCAGTATGCAGATGTCCTCACAAAGCCCTTGTCTTCTCTCAGGTTTTTGCAGCTCAGAGACAAGCTACAGGTTCAGGACAAGGCATCCCTTGCACAAGGATGACCCTGCTTTTGAGGGGAAGATATTAGAGTAAATAGTATCATAGTCTAGTAAAGTGTACTAAGCTTGTAACAGACTGTGCTGGTCAGCACAGTCCTAATTGAAACTATATAAGTTCAGTTTAGTTCTCAGTGTAACCAACTTAGAGATATCAAAACAAAATTCTGTTAAAAATGATAACCAACTTTTTCTATTATGGGTATCACATCAGTTTACAAGAAAATAATGAATTGTCACTTCCAATTTTCATAAGATCTGGTACAATGAGAACATTAGGGTAGAAATTGATCCATGTAGCCAACCCCACTTAGTGTTATAAGGCTTGGTTATTGTTGCTGTTACCTTGCATAAACTATTGAAACAAGCAAGGAAAAGAAATACTACACAATTTACAAAAGTTATATATTATCCATGTCCTTATCCTAGCAACATAACATACATTAATTCCTCCCCCTTCTATTAAGTCGTTAAGGCAGGTTGATATCATTTTAAAACAATTGAAAGAAATGAAATATCAACATGAAAGATAATAAATGTTTTAAACACACAGTCATTCATGTCACCCCCTCAGTTATCTTAGTCGATCCTAAAGCCAGATACCGAGTTTCCGAAAAATATATTTATCCAAATTGAATCTTTAAACATAAAATTTAAAAAACTCTAACAAAAGCTGATAGAAGTAATATAACCCCTACCTCTCTAAAAGATGAATCTTCTGTTTTGGTCTATCACCTTTAATAACATTGAAACATGATGTTACAAGCTCCTCCAAGTTTGCCAGCCGCAGAAGCCTCGAATCCCTCCTCACCTAATAGTCACCGCAAAATCCATAATGACCCGTAAAAACACATCACATGTATGTAAAAGCAATTGTAAATACAAATTTCCACACGATTCCAACTACACTTAAAAACTTTAACTAATGGAGTAAAAATAAACCAGAGGAAAAAACACTTTCAGAAAATTTTCAACAAAGCAATTTCAAAAAAATTGAACACTGACTTCGGCGAAACTAGACTCCAGTAGTGCATACCTTCAAAAGATGTTGGAAATAGGAACAACGGCGGTGCTGATTCTTATTCTTGTACACCAATCTTTCAAGGATACCACACTCACATTGCAGCTGCGGAAGCATCGATGTTAATCGTCCCTCGACTGATTCAAATTCAGTATCCATCGAATCTTGCAATTTAAATCCAAGGCAGAACTATAATCTGCAAATAAAACAAAGAACAAAGAAAATGAACACGGGTCATTAATTGCTAGTGAATTTAAGTTTGAGTGCCATGAATCATTATAGCTATTAATTTAGGGGCCAATAAATTTGAGCCCCAGCCCACATAATGAGGGGGCCTAAAAAATCAAAGAATAATGAGCCCCCAAATATATTGGCCCCAAAGTCAGAAGGCTCCAAATTTTAGAAGGGGCCACAAAGCCCCAATTTAGATATTAATTATTTTTTTTCAAAAAAATACTTAATTTCAAAAATAATATTCTCTGCTTTGCAATTAAAGCTTCAAGAATTTACTTGAATGAACCCTCCCACTGTGTCATACCTCCTCAAGGAACTTCTTTGATTTGCTCTATGTATATTTTGCATGCAAATTGGTAATAACATACTAACATATGTGAAGTATAACATGATATAGAAGTAACCTCAACTTACAACATAGCAGTCATACAACACTCAAGAAGAAAACAAGAGAACCAAACACAATATCCAAAATAAACACCTTTTGTAATAGTGAAAGTTTTATGGAGAAAATTAGTGCTAACACTCCAACACTTCCTATATTCTTCTTTGAGAAAATGCAACACTAGGGAATGCTATCCATGAAGGTGCTCTCAACTCAAACCTTGGATAGTTGGATCCTCATTTTAAGAAACAGGCCTATTGGAAGACATTTGAGATGATTTCTTATGCAAGAGCTCTTTCTAAACCCTGTTGTTACTTTGTCCCTTGAAGGACTATCTTACCCTCTCATTCTCACACATTGCCAAGCAACATTAGCTAAAAAAGTGTGCAAGCACAGAAAAATTTACTTCTTGAATCAAACTAAATCATGCATTGCAGAAAATATTGATTTGTTAAAATTTGGAAAATAACCGTAGCAGTGAGCAACAACAACAGAACATAGTCATTACTTTTATTTTAACCATCTTATTCTACAAAACAAGATTCTAATCTAATGCTTCCACTTCCTCAATCCTTAATAAATATACCTACTACTCTTAACAAGTTTCTCACATGTAAACAGTTTATAACATGTATATGAATCTTGTTGAGACATTTTCACAAACAGCTTGTGAGTGTATCTTGTTGAGACATTTTCACAAACAGCTTGTGAGTGTGTATATTAAACAGTATTACAAACCTAAGGATGACCCATGTGAATTCAAATGAGATGAAAAAGAATCCATTCATAGTCCTATTTGTTTATATAACGTGAAGATTGATAATATGTGAATTCAATTGAGATGAAGAATAAGTGTTGATTTTAGAAAAGAAAAAATAGAAATTTAAGAGAGATGGAACTATAAGAGTACACCTGAAAAACAGAGCTGCTAAGGAGAAGAGATGGCGGTGGCACAATAGGGTTGACGACGGCGGCGCTATGGTGCTGGAGGTGGTGGTTAAACGGCGGCGCTATGGGTTTCGGGTACTTTTTTTCTTAATTATTTTCAAAACTCGATTGTTTTGGGTTTTTTATTGGTTCTTTTCACTTACATTTAGGTAATAAATTAATTTATATCATTTACAAATCTTATTAATTAGTTATATTATACATTTGTTATTATTTATTTATTTTCATTGTATCCTTCTAAGTCTTACAATTAAGTAATAAAATATTTTTTTATGGTTATTTAATTTTAAAGAAATAATAATTACTTTTTATATTTATTCTACTTTCTTATAATATATTAAAAAATAGATAAATAAATTAAACTAGTCAAACCTTAAAAACAACCTTAGCGAATTTTTTTAAACATTAAAGCATGCAGAAGTATATTGTGTATGGGTCGTAAAAACTGATGTAAAGTTATTTTTTTAAAAAAATTGAAACCTAAAGAAAAAAGACTAGAGATTAATTAGAATTTTTTTTAAAATTGTTTTGCACGGTTATTTAATTAAAATTAATCATTTTGATATATAAGTATTAAAATTAAAAACAAAATAATATATTATAATTAAATTATTTTAATAACTAATTCTCTCACATTCCTCTCTTATCTGATCAATTAATAAAATAAGAGAATTTTGAGTAAAAACTCACTCATAAAACTTCAAATGAAGATCTAGATCCACAGGATAGCAAATACATATGCATAAGTTTCGACTAACGGTAAATATGACAAATTCGCATCTCTCAATCCATTTTAAGTTAGTGTTGAATTTGTTGTACCAATCACATTCCAAATATACTACTTTGCTCATAATCCAAAATATTTTGAACACCTACTTTAGAATTTATATGAAACTCAATAGCTTGAAACACAAACTCTTTTGTTAATCTTAATCCTTCTAACACCCCTAAAGTTCAACAATATATGCACTATAAGAACTCACATATCTGGTGAAGCCTCCAAACAACTCACTCGTACAATCTCTTAAAGGACCACCACATTCAGCTATCAAGTTATTCTAATTAGTTCCATTAGTGTTCAGTCTCACCCAATCTAAAGAAGAAGAAATCCACCTTATTTATTTTGGCTCTCGAGTCCTCTCTCTTACTAGCATGCAGCTTCAATGTCAAAAAAAATACTCATGAACAACTTTAGTATAAGCCACCACATAATTCTAAGTCAAAAAAAAAATTCATCATATTAAACTCTAATCCTTCAAATCTGAAATCAAATTTTAATAACATGACATTGAACATGAACATGATGATGTAAATGACTACATTTAACAAATTTTATTTCAGACCATTTTTTTAATATTTATAGTTATGTTATTTGTTCAAAGATAATTTATTTTATTAATAATACTAAATAATATTAATAATGTTAAGAAAAAACTGATTTTGAATATTTTCTTGTTAATGTTTGTGAACTAATATGATGATATAAGTTACTAATCTATAGCTATATAATATCAAGCTAATGGAAAAGATTGAAGAGAAGTAGAATATCTCACTTATATTTTTCAAAGAAAATTAGTGTGTTTTTACATCAACCAAGGAAGATATTTATACTACTAAAAATATAACTATTACACTAATGTAATAATTGGCATTACTATTTTAATTTTGACAAATTATACATGCATTTACAGTTATTAGTCATTACTATTAAGATAGATATTTTTAACTAATCATAATAATAAACGAGTATAACATGATGCTCCTCCTCAACAAAACACATTTAGTTCTTCATTAAAGACATTGAAGATGACACATTCCAATATTTTGTACATGCTTCTTGAAAACTGATGTATGAAGTGCCTTGTTGTGAATTAGGATGCCTTGAAACAAAATATAATCGATTTCTTTATGATCAAGAAACACACAAGGGTTAGGGTTAAGGAAAAGCATGGAGAACAACAAGGATTGGTTATAATTGTTATTCTTTATTTTCTCTATAAAACAGATTACAAGTACTAAAAAATAACTAATAACTCTCTCACCCTAATTAGGTATTCTCACACCACACTTAAGATGAGAGACTAGTATGTTATTTATAATAAACCTAACATACTAAACTAATGGTTTTTTTTAACAATTATCCATTATAAGCTAACTTAAACAATTGGATCCTTAACACAAGGCCAAATTCGAAAACTACATACTAGAACATAATTTGACTACAGCATGTAGGTCTTCGATAACAGCATGTGAGCAAACTTCGACGACATGCTAACTAGAGTTTGATCCAATATCTCACAAATCTCCACCTTAAATCTAACTCTACCATCAAAAAACAAACTAGCTTTCATCATGCAGCTTTATTAACTGCATATAGTGGAAAAACTTACAACTGGGCAACTTGGTGATCATATCAACAACATTATAATTTTTCGAAACCTTCTACACTTGGACTTTTCCACGCTCGATTACCCCTCTAACGAAATGCAGTTTCACATCAATGTGCTTGGTTTACTCATGATAGGCTGAATTCTTCGACAGGTATATTGCACTTTGACTATCACATTTAACAGTGATAACTCGACCTCGAAGTTTCAACTCTTTTGTAAAACCTTCAAGCTATAATGCTTCCTTCACAACTTCAGTTAGGGAGATATATTCCTCTCATTGATTGATAAGGCAACAACCTTCTAAAGTGTTAATTTCCAACTGATTTATGTGCCAAACATAGTGAACACATATCCACAAATAGATTTTTTGGAATCCATACAACCTGCATAATCTGAGTTGACATATCCTTCGATAGCTGTTTTACTATCTTCACCCAAAGTTCCGCCATAAATTAGGACTCTATTCGGAGACTCATTTATGTACCTTAGAATCCACTTCATTACTTGCCAGTGATCCTTTCCAGGATTCTCCATGTACCTGCTTACAAGACTTACTGCATATGTTATGTCGGGTCTAGTACAGACCATAACATACATCAAAGAACCCATTATATTAGCATATGGAATGCTATTCATATAATCTCTTTCAACATCAATATTGGGGCACTGATCTATACTCAGCTTGAATTGAGGATTTGAATTTGACATACCAAACTTTTCGAGAATCTTCTGTAGGTATGCCTCTTGAGATAAGCATAATTTCGACTGCTTTCTTTCTCTTTGAATGTCAATCCCAAGAATCCTGGGCACATCTCCCAAATCCTTCATTTCGAACTTCTTATTGAGTTCATCCTTCACCTTTATTACATCTTTGACATTGTTGCTGGCTATTAGAATATCATCCATATAGAGCAACAAAATAACAAATGAATTATCAGGTCAAAATCTGAAGTAAACACAATGATCGAACTGAATTCTAATGAAACCTATGTGTGTCATGAACTTGTCGAATCTCTTATTCCATTGTTGAGGATATTGTTTCATTCCATATAAGGATCTCTTCATCTTGCACACATAATCTTCCTTCCCCTTTTCGACATACCCTTCAGGTTGCGTCATCAGGATTGTTTCATCTAGATCACCATACAAGAATGCAATTTTCACATCCATTTGTTCCAGTTCAAGGTCGAACTGTGTCACTG